AAAAAAAAAAAAAAAAAAAAAAAAACTGATAATACGAGATAGATAATTAAAATCACTGAATATAAGATTGGCCAGTTATGTCGAGATCTCGATCTCCGGTGGATGGCGGTGGCTTGTGCTTGGGCTCGACAGTGGCTTCAGCCGGCCCATCTGCGCTTTGTGTTGCACTGGCCGGTGGCTTTTTTTCCGGCTGCTTTGGCTCCCCATCGTCCGTGCCATACATTCCGCCGCCGTAGGCCTCCTTGGTGAGCGGTTGCATGGCTGATATATGCGGCGGTTGGTGTTTCTGGCCGGCGGTTTCCTCCGATTCCGGTTCCTTGTTCTCCCTCTTCATTTTTCAACTTTGTTCTTATTTTATTGCTGTTCTGAAAATATTTGAAGTGGGTAGCGATTGCAGACCATTTTATCAGGTTTCGCTAACGAGTTTGGAATCAAAAGACACGATTTCGAGGCAAAACGTGGCAAGAAATTAACCATGCCACGTGGAGTAAGGGCATGCGGTGGATGCATATCCGTAGCCTTCGCATTTTCAACGCTTCTGATAAGTATATCAGATGTATTATATATTGCCAAGAAGTTAATACCGCAATTTACGCGCTTTTTTATTAGTTTAAATAAAACACTTTATATGTGAACTACTGAGAATCCTGTACGATTGGATTTCATAATATAAAATATTTTTATAAAATTTTAATACAACAATGTATTAGCCCGTTGATCTGTCTATATATTAATAAAATAAATAATACATGTTTATTTATTTTTAATACAAAAAATAATAATTTTACATATTTTGGTTCATCATAATCTCAAATATTATTTTATTAAAAAATTTATGTCAATGTCAACATTATTTATAACATTTATAGAAATAATATTTCTTTTTTATATAATGATAAATATTTAATGTATATTAATATTGTTAATTGATGTGATTAATTTAAAAATATATAAGTAAATCTATGAGATAGATATTGATATTTTAGGTAGAAATATATAGTATGAATATCTTGAGATACAAAATAAATTTTTATGTGATTTATTACCTTCATTAATCAGTCGAAATTATCTAAATTGTATCTTTAAAACGTACCATAAAATGTCTAAATAATTTCCAGAATTAGTAAACAACATTTTTTTGGCGGGAAATAGTTACTATTTTAAAAATAATCAAATATTTTTATATAGATATAGATATGCTTCTATTTTAATTTAACCAACACAAGAGCTATTATTACAAGAAGAATAGTCAATTTGTTATTGCTTTATTGTTATTTGCGGGGCGGATCTAGGAAAAAACTTTGGAAGGGGCCAAACTGAATTGTGTCTGTTTAACTAGTGAAAATTTGATTTCATATCATTCATATATTTAAATGAGCCGAACTAGAACGACTATACAACTTTCATATTAAACAAATGAGTAGATTGAAGTTTACACAAGTCGAGTTTGAGCTCATACTTTTTTTTTTATTTATTTAAATGGTCGAGTTTGAGCTCATATTTATTTATTTATTTATTTAAATGCTCGAGTATGAGCTCATATTATTTCACAACACGATAAAATATGAATCATGAAAATTATAAAACACAGATATTTTGCAAAATAATTAATCCATTGTATATAATTACTTAGGACACCGATATAGTGAAATTTTATCTTCTTGATCAATTGCTATAGGCAATGCCTTCGAAACATTATTCATTTATAGAGGCAAGAACGTAGATGTTGCTTCTAGAAGTTCGAAAACCAACAAGTGTCAGTGCCTTTTTGAGATAAGAGTAAAGCGGGTGCCCGGAACGCAATTCTGGATGATCCACAAGTGTCAAAACAAAGAGAAGGGCTTCCACAATCATTCACTTGTTGTGTATCCCGAGGGCCATCGACAGTCGAGCGGCATAAGCCATTTATCAAAAAAATTTGATATGACTGTTGCGCAGGTGAGACCAGCAAATATTTTGGTCGTTATCCAGGAAAAAAATCCTGGAGATCACGCTATTGTGCGACATATATATAACTATAGAGACAGGCTGCGCAAGGAAAGTTTTGAGGGTAGAGACGTTACTACCCAACTTCTACATTTGGCTAGAAGCAGGAGCTATATAGTTTATAAAGATGTCGATCCAGACACAAATGCCTTGACACACATATTCATGGCCCATCCTGATTCAGTCAGACTATTCCGGATATATTATTCGTATGTCGGCATAGATTCCACCTACAAAACCAACAGGTGCATTAATTTATAAATACGTTATTAGTATGAATTTAAATTAATATGTTCGATCAAATTTTACGTGATTATTTTTTGTCTTTTGGTCTAATTTGCACAGGTACAAGATGCAGTTGGTCGAGATGATTGACATGACTCCGTGCAACAACAACTTCTTGATTGCGTACGCACTCATGAAAGACGAGAAAGAGACCAGTTATGATTGGGTTCTCCATAAGTTGAGACTTCTGATAGGCTCTAAGGTAAGAATAAAATATTCATTTAATTAGTGATAAAAGTATTTTATGCAATATAGTAAAAATATTTCAGCAATTTTTGCTCTGTCTCATTAATATTTCTGTATCCGCCGTTTCTCAGGTACACCCTAATGCGGTTGACACTGATATAGAGTTGGGCTTAATGACTCCTATTAGGAGGAACTTTCCCCAGTCCGCCCACTTACTCTGCACGTGGCACATCAACAAGGATGTAGAAGACAGAGTCTACATGCTGCTTGGACAAAATAAAAAATTAGCTCAAAGTTTCTTGCGCGGTAGGTGAAAGGCGATTGCCGATGCCAGTACGATTGATGAGTACGACGCTGCCGTAGCTTAATTGCGTTTCAAATACCGGAATCATCCAGAAGTGTTACAATATGTCGATCAGACATGGTTAGTCCATAAGGAGAAGTTTGTGAAAGCTTTGGACTAACCGGGTAACACATTTTGGCAACACAACTTCATGTAGGGTGGAGAGTGCACACTCTGTGTTGAAGCAGTGGCTTCACACGTCGACCGGCGCGCTCGATACAGTGTGGCAGAAGATTGATGCGGAGATCAAGTCCCAAATGACTGGAATAAGGTACATTCCTTATTTTCAACTGTGTTATTTTGTTTCACATATATTAGAATTCTGGGTATTTTGTTTTATTTATAAAAATAAATATAAATAAAAAAAAGCCGACCAAAATGTAATATATAAAAATATATTTTATTTAATATATATATATATATATATTATTAATATAAACAAACACTATTATTAAAAATTAAACAATAATAAATACTAAATATATTGATAAATGCACAATATTGTTATTACTACATTAACTATAATATAATGTTTTGTAATATATTACCAGGACAACGCTTGAGTTTTCGAGACTTAAGAGGTATACGAGATTTACGGGATTCCCTTTCGAAGGCCTGACACTGAGGGTCTCGCATTACTGTCTGGACATATTGAAATTTGAACTGACGAGGATGCGAGACTTGAGCTATGAAGTTTACGAGCGCTGCGGTCGTGTATTGCTTACCACTCATGGAACTCCTTGTGCTTGTACGCTTCGTACGACATCTGATTCTGACCTTTCGATTGAACTGAATGATATCCACGAGTTCTGGAGGACACTAGAGATGTCACAACCAGGTAATTTAAGGTTAATGTTTCATTTACAATTTTCTACTTTCTGATTCATTGTTAATTACAAATTAAAGTACATTACGTTGTTAAATTCATTGAATTTTTTGACCGTACACTTGTAGGGACAGATCACCAGAGCCAGAATAACCAGAGACAGGATAACCAGAGTGCATGGACAGATGTTGATGTATTTCGGTTGTTTGTCCAAGAGGTTGAAATGGACGATCCTGCGACGCTTTGCTACATGAATCACCTCATGTACGCTCAGCTTTACCCAGAGCAACAAGCTTATGCAGAACCTGAGGTTAAGGAAAATACGCAAGGTTGTCCCAAGAAAACCGATTCAACTAAGCGTAAACCATCGCACTGGGAGTACAGGGATAATTCGAGAGGTCGTCCGGTGGGCCGTACAAGCACTTCTTCGCGCGGACCGACAAACACTTCTTCGCGCGGGACGACAAACACTTCTTCGTGTAGACCCACAAGCAGCCAGTCTTCTCAACCGTCACAAGAGGCACCACAAGGTGACATATTTTTTTTTATACAACTGAACGTTAATCAAAGTGTTAATATAAATTATATTATATAAATTGTGACGTGAAATTATTAATATGATGTTTCAGCTGGTATTTCGACAGATATATTTGGTTTTGAATATCGGAATAGTATTCCCTGGCATATGTTTGACCACGTAGTGAGCTACTTGAATGTGAAAGCGGATGGTAACTGTGGATTTCAGGTTGTAGCGAGTTACATTTACGGGGACCAAGAGATGTGGCAACTCGTACGAGAGAACCTTGCCAATGAGATTTTTCAGCCACCGTGAGTTGTACGAGTATATCTATTTCAGGGATATCGACCCCAATCTCGTTCGAATAAGGTGGGACGGTGGCCCTTGTGGCCGACATCACTGGATGGTTACTCCATTCGACCTCTTCCCTGTTGCAACTCTATTTAATACTGTTGTCATTTTCTTATGCTCTGGTCCTGATGGAAAACAGTGCAACCGGTTAAGTTGCACAGTATTGCCGCTCTCTGCACCATCGACGGCTACACGACCACGACGCGAGTTTGGGATCTGTCATCTTGATTGCTACGCACACTACATTCGTGTAGATTTGAATCTTGATTGTCCATTACCGCCTTCATCCTTTCTGGTTCAAGTACTGAACTAATTCGGTTCAGGGTTGGGAGAATCAGTACCAGCGTAGGTTGCAATTGTGGTTTGAGGAACAAAATATTTTTTGATGAATAAAAGACGAATATTATTCGGTTGTCGTTATTATTTTTATTGTTATGGAATTGTGGGTAATGTCATAAAATTTGAACTAAAAAAACGAGCTAAAACAGGGGCTAAGGATTGTTTTAATATCAAGTGCGCGAAAAATGGAGCTAAAACGAGTAATAATGAGCAAAAAATAAAACAGGGTCTGGTAAACTCGCGACTCGCGACCGTACTTGCGACTCGCGAGTTGAAGTCGCGAGTCGCGACTTTGGCTATTTTTTGTTCTGTCAAAGTCGCGACTCGCGACAAAATCTCGCGAGTCGCAACTCTCGACTCACGACTCACGAGTTTAATAGAGCCGAAACAACCAAATTCGCGACTCGCAACTTCAACTCGCGAGTCGCGACCGTACTCGCGACTCGCGAGTTGATGTCGCGAGTCGCGATTTTGGTTCTTTTTGGTTCACAGAATCTCGCG